TTTGAGATCGTTTGGCCCCAAAATCGTAGTCACGATCAAATTTCGATTAATTGAGCAGCCTTAGTATAAATGTTCATGAAGTGATGAAAACTGTGTCCCAGAGGATGGTGGACATTAGTTAACTTTACTAGGGTGGTAGTCAAACGCTGCATTGCTTTGGTTTAACGAGCCACCAGTCTGTGTGAACATACCAAGAGTATTGAGCTCAGAACAAAGGAACCATCTAAGATTACACCATCACCTTTCACTGCACAACTCTTTGCCGTTCAACTCGTACACAGCATCATCTGCATCTCTGTGGTCGTCAAACTCCTGAGAAGAGAAGAAACAAAAGGGTTATTTTAATACACTATATCTAGAGACAAAACAAAAACAGGAGAGAACACAAGACCTACAAAAAGTGGCCAGTCACTCACCACAAAGCCAAATCCGTTCTTCAGGTTAATTTCCCGAATGCGTCCATATCCCTTGAAGAACTTCTCCACATCTCGCTCTCTGGCGTGCGGGCTCAAGCGGCCGATGAAGACGCGACAACCACTCATTGTTTTCTGCTGAAATTGGAAAACAAAGTCGGTAAACATTAAACCAAAAGTGGAGTAAAAGGTTAGTCAGATTAATTAGTAACAGATCTTTTTACGGATGAGAAAAACAGTCAAGACGACGTCACCGCGTCTGAACGTCGCTTAAGAATCAAAAAAAATCTATAAAATGATCTATTTCCTGAACACTATGTAAATTAATTCTTGTTTGTGAAACCTTTTACTGTCTGTTCGGTTAACATTAAGCCACGGCTCGTCCGGGAACAACTCAAACTGAGCAAACAGGATCGCAGACACATGATAATCTAGTTCTGGTCGAACCAGTTTCAGTGTCGTTTACATTACTGTCTCCACAGAAGCTGAAACTAAACCCCCCAATATAAACACACCCAGCCCCCCAGTGCATTCATACAAAGGCCCTGAAGGAGTCCTGGCTGCATGAATGTGAAAGGGCTGCACAATTAATCTAATCTAAATATACGAATTGTAGATTTAACCTCTTTGAAAAGGGTAATTTGTGTTTAAAACAGCATTAAACTGAAGTGCTGTAGTTCTGTTCTTGTTCTCCAGATGTAAGAAACCATGTTTGTTTGATACAGGCCCACAAAAATGTCACATCATGAGTTTTTTTCCCCAAGAAAATAAAAAGGAGGAAACATTAAAAACACAATAAAATTAAAACAGCACTGCAAAGTACGGCCTCGAAAATAACCATTAAATTAATTATACACATTTTTTTAAAAGGGTAAATTAGCCCAGTAGTGTTTTTAATGCGTTTAAGTGTGTTAAAAGATATCTCGGGTTAAATTATAAACCGCTTGGGCCCAACTTTAGCCTGATAGCTTCACTACGAGAACACGCTTTACTAACACTACTAGGCTCAAACACACCTTAAAAACACTGGAAAATGCAGAAAGGGTACCCCCAAATACCCCGATTTCATCTGCTAAATGTTAACATTAATTCTTTTAAGTGGCTTTTTATTAAAAAACAAAAAACAATTGTATTTCTCGCTCGCGTCCATTTCGGCTGCAGCTCTGCCTCGAGGTCGACTTCGGCGAGCTAACGTTAGCCACCTTCCGTTAGCATCAAAACGGTCCAAACTGTGGAGGATAAAAGAGCTCGGTGCACTTTACACGATAACACAACGTTAATGGAGTCATATTCTTACCTAATGTTTATTTATTTATGGTTTTTTTCCCTCAGGGCGTCTCCGCTGTCGTTGTTTACCTCGCTGCTTCTCTGCAACTTTAACTGAGTCGTCTCGGCTTCACTCGACTTTATCAAAATGGCGAGCGAGTCTAAAGAGCGGGGAACAGGAAACGCCGCTTCGAGGTTGCCAGTTCGGGAGGGACGTTGCTGATTAACTGCCGCAGTTAATGCTTAACCCGGGTTTAGGGTTTACGACGTCTGCCCCTTTGTCCTTCGGATAAGTGTTGCGGTGCTTTTGCGAAGGTGACACAGTGAAGTGAAAACATGACACAAACAACCGTGTTTTTTGTTTAATTAAGAAAATAAGAGGAGTTTTTTTGGAAACGTCAAAAAGGGGGATGCAACACGGATGTGGCAACCCGCTTCAGATTACACAGTAAGAAGGGAGGCTGATTCTGTTGGCCAGGTTATATTACTGGGGAGTAAGGATTACTGTAATTAGTAAGTATTCATGGGGTAAAAGCGGTAACTGAAATCCATAAGAGTTAACAGGAAGATGTAATCAGATTCAAGTAACACAAGACGGGGGTTGATTCTGTTGCAGGTATTTACTGGGGAGTTTAACGGATTACATGTAATTTAGTAAGGTAATCAGGGTAGCAAAAAAGGTAAATGAAATCTAAGATTACAGGAAGACATGTAATCAGATTACACAGTAACCCTAAGAAGGAGGCTGTTCTGTTGCAGGTATATTAGCTGGGGAGTACGGATTATGTACTTTTAGTAAAGTAATCAGGATACAAACAGGTAATGAATCCATAAGAGTTAAGAGGAAAAGAATGTAATCAGATTACACAGTAACTAAGAAGGGAAAAGGTTGATTCTGTTGGCGAGGTTAATTAATGGGGATGTAACCCGGATTCTGTAATTTAGTAACAGATCGGATACAACCAGCAAGGTACTGATCCATAAGATTAGCAGGAGACATGTAAATCGATACACAGTAACCTAAGAAGGGGTTGTTCTGTGGCCAGGTATTTACTGGGGAGAAGATTAGCATGTAACTTTAGTAAATAATCAGGGTACAAAGCAGGTAATGAATCCATAAGAGTTACAGGAAAGACATGTATCAGATTACCAGTACCCCTACGAAGGGAGTTGATTCTGTTGCAGGTATATTAACGGGGAGTACGAGATTACATGTAATTTAGTAAAGTTAATCAGGATCAAAAACAGGTATGAAATCCATAAGATACAGGAGACATGTAATCAGATTACACAAGTAACCTAAGAAGGGAAGGCTGATTCTGGGTTGCCAGTATAATGAATGGGGAGTACGGATTACATGTAATTTTAGTTTAAACGTAATCAGGGTAAAAGCAGGTTAACTGAAATCATTAAGAGTACGGAAGAACATGTAATGACGATTACACAGTAAAAGGGAGGCTTGGTTTGTTGCCAGGTATACTATACTGGGGAGTACGGATTAACCATGTAATTTAGTAACCAGTAAATCAGGGTACAAAAGAAGGTAAAGATGAAATCCATAAAGAGTTCAGGAAGACATGTAAACTCAGTTCACAGTAACCCTAAGAAGGGAGGTATTATTTTTTCTGTTTGCCAGGTATCATAACTGGGAGTAACGGATTACATGGTAATTTAGTAAAGTAATCAGAGATAGAAAAACAGGTAACTGAAACCCATAAGAGTTACAGGAAGAACATGTAATCAGAATTACACAGTAACCTAAGAAGGAGGTTGATTCTGTTGCCAGGTAATATTACTGGGGAGTCGGAATTTACATGTAATTAGTAAAGTAATCAGGGTACAACAGGTAATGAAATTCCATAAGAGCTTACAGGAAGACATGAAAATCAGATTACATCAGTAAGCCCTAACGAAGGAGGTTGATTCTGTTTGCCAGGTATATCTAAACTGGGAGTAACGGATTAACATGTAACTGTAGCTCAAAGTAATCGAGGATACAAACAGGTTAACTGAAATCCATCAGAGTTACAGGGAAGAATGTAATCAGATTACACAGTAACGCCTAAGAAGGGAGGTTGATTCTGTTGCGAGGTATATTAACTGGAGTAAAGGATTGTGTTAATTTTAAAGTAATCAGGATACAAAAAAGCAGGTAACTGAAATCCATAAGAGTTACAGGAAGATGTACATCAGATTACACAGTAAAAGGAGGTGGTCTGTTTGCCAGGTATCATTAACTGGGGAGTAACGGTTACATGATAATTTAGTAAAGTAATCAGGATACAAAAAACAGGTATGAAATCCATTAAGAGTTGGAAGACATGTAAATAGAATTACACAGTAACGAGGAGGCTGGTCTCTGTTGGCAGGTATATTAACTGGGGAGGTAACGTTACATGTAATTTAGTAAGTAATCAGGGTACAAACAGGTACTGAATCCTAAGGTTTCAGGGAGACATGTAATCGATTACACAGTACCCTAAGAAGGGAGCTGATTCTGTTGGCAGGTATCATTCGGGGAGTAGGAATTTACATGTAATTTAGTAAAGTATCAGGATACAAAGCAGGTTCTGAACCATAAGAGTTACAGGCAAGACATGTATCAGATTACCACAGTACCTAAGAGGGAG